CGTGTGACTGGGAAGTAATCCGGGAGGCGATCCGGAGCCGTCTCCAAAAACAAAGCCCCTCGTTCACTTTGAGATAGCCTGGCTAGCTGTCTGTCCGTTATCCATCCACCCAGTCCCCAGGTCAGAGCCTGGCAAGCTATTCGTGGGTACCCATATGCCAGAAATAGCAGTATCAATGGGCTTCATTCCCTTCAACCTGGGAGAGATGGCGTTCTGGCCTTCAATGCGCACGAACACTTGCATCGGAAGCGTGTATAGAAAATCTGATGATGCAAGCTAGGAAGAACAAATACGACGTCATCGGACTGACAGAAACGAGAAGGCATCTCCCGCTGCACGCTGTATTTGAGACTGGGGAAGATTTGTTTCTAGGAATATGCGACACCAAAGGCGTCGGCGGCGTAGGTGTACTCGTCAATACGACTTGCCCATGAACATCTATTTGTAAACAAACTTAACAACCCAAATCCGACGTGTGCAGTTGAGAAGATGTGGCTGAACCCCAGCCTAACAGTCCTCGTTGCCTCTTACATCAATACAAAGCTACGGAGTAGAATAGCTAGAAGTGTCTTATGTGGACCTGGAAAGGCTCTTTAAGGAGTACCACACCCTCTTCAAAGCCATCTTTGACGATTTCAACGACAAAACTAGCCCCAGAACGACGAAAAGCTACTTATTGGGACTCGCAGAACGGAGCGGGATGAGGAGGATGAAAGACCCTTTCATATTATCATGTCGACCCACACCATCCATGGTAATACACAGTTCCAAAAACCCATTCATATAGGATGGACTTGGGAAGTGATCCATGAAGTTGGAAGTTCGTTAGGATCATGTTCAAGCATAAGTTATTGATTGTGGAAGAGTTGTCAAAAATAAAATAGGAGTAACTTTTTGCTTCGATAGTGTCCCACCTTCAGTGAAGACGGGTCGTTCTCAATAATAAGATCAAATGGCTGATCCATTTCAAAAGGAAACGGTCCGCTGCTTTCCTCGTTAGCCCACTGTCCAGCCTTGGACGAATTACGCACTATCTGAATGAGAAACTCGAACATTAATGATAAATCAGCTTCCTAGAAAATGAAGTTCTCGCCTTAGAATGTCTTACCTGTTTATTATCGAACCGAGGACTAAAACGGAACAGAATGTCATCATTAGTGTCGAGCAGATCAAGGTTCCAGCTATTACCTTTGGATACGCCATGCACCTGTACACTCTGGCCTGAAATGCCCTTTCATAATTTGAGAAAGTCCCAAAAAACAACATCACTTACCCGTTTTCAGATTACCGTCTGGGAATCCCGTCAACCATGGGACCGAGAAGTACCTTCAAAATTCATTCCGTTTCTTTTCACTATGATTATGAGGACTCATTTCAATGTCCGCCTACCTTCGTCCCGTCCCAAAGACATTCGTAAGGGTACAGTCTCCATTAATTTGGATATAGGTGATTTCATCGTATGGAACACGATGTTTGTATTCTTGAATCAAATTCCCGTTACAGGAAATCTCCATGCTAGCGACAGTGACACTGCAAAACATCAATGGATCAGATTCGCCTTAGATGACATTCATGGCGCAATAGGCCCTTTGTTCCTTCGAAAGTTGAGCATACTCAGTATCAGCTTAGGTCAGTCTTTTTTAGACATGACCGGAAGTAATGATTTTCGGCTTTTCAGATCCAAATTTTTTAGCAAGATCAAGTACTTCAGGCTTCGAGGTAAGGACGGGGGTCATATTTTGGAGGAAGGACAGTATACCTAGATGTAGTCATTTAACGCTCCCTGGAAACGGACTTATTATCGGGTGCTACCGGCTGTTCATTTTTGAACTGCCCATTGATGCAGTTTTGGCCCTTCGCCTTTGGACAACTCTAAGAGACGAAGCGAATGGTCCGCGACAGCCGCGTGCGGCGAATCGACTAAGCAAAAGCGATTCTACTGCCCGCCTCCCCTATTATTTTTGTTTTTTTTTTGGTGACGTTGGCTGTCACAAACATAATCATCATTCGTTGACTACAGCCGGCTATAGTCTTTGCCCCAGACATTTCATTTATTTGCCAATATTTTCTAATAGTGATCACAAATAAAGAAATAATTATATAAATGCATATGGGGAATACTTACCCGATTCTGACATCGAATGAATCCCCTTTTTGCAACGGCATCGACACTCGTTCTGCTTCTCCCCATGCGCCATCCTAAAGCCAATCCCCATGTCAGGTTTCTTGAGCATCCTTGAAATTCTTGAATAAAATCCCAAAGCAGAGGACTAACTGTGAAGCTATTCATGATGATTGCGTTCTCATCGAAACGGAAATCCACTTGCAGCACTGTCTGCATTTGACCTTCTTCCCTTTCGCCCCGGAGGAAATTGACGTCAAACCTACAAACTGCTAATTTCTCTTTAACGAGCTGATAAAAAAGGCTTTTGTCAGCCTTGAAATTTCTCGAAGTTGTGCGCTAGGTCTCCTAAATGATCGTATGGAAGTACTAACCCACTAGCTTCACTCTTGACGGCCCCACGGATGCAAATAGTTTCTCCGGCCCTAAGCCTCTGGCCTAGCCTAACCGTAAGCGGAACAGGAATGCGAGAATCCGCAACATGAGCCTAAAAAGGACTTCAAGGAGATTTACTAACAATAAAAATGCTGTCGATTTTTTAATCAGAAGATGAGTAATGAATCATATTTGCAAATTAAACGACTCGATAATAATATGTCACTGGGGTACGACTGACCAATTCTACGCTGTACACTTCGACAGGTCCGAGGATTCGCATTCCTGTGCAGGCCCTTTCGGGATCATCAAACCGATGAACAAACGATCCAACTTGCTTACGGTTCACGAAGTACTGAATATAAACGATTTCATTGGCTAGTTGCCTTCGAATGGGAGATAGAAAAGTACGGAGAACAGCCCCACTCGATCTCACCGATGGTACCTTCCCTACCCTACCCTAGTAGTAACTTGTGAGCAGAACTAGCTGTAACACCCAATAGAACCACTTAGTTCTGTATCACCCGGTTACAAGCTGATCCCCAAGCTATGAAGCATAAGGTTGAGCATTCTCAGAAAGAAGCAACCCAGGACCTTTGCTCACTCCAACAAGTTGGATGTCAGTGAGTCGCATAACCCACGGTTCTGAACCCCCCATAACTTTCCAAAACTATTTCCACATGCTATATTGTAAACGGGAGTTCTACTATGATTGAGGACGAGTTTCAGTAAAATTTAGCGATTTATTTCATTACCTATAAATCACAATGCACTCACCTTGATATCAGACATATCGTACTGAATTATCAGAACGAAATCTTGATCCCTTTCAAAGGGAAACTTCCCTTCGGTTTCTTCTACCCCCCACTCGCCCTGCTTGCTTGCATTACGCACTATCTAAAAGAGAAGGGTAGCCTAAGGGAACCGTCAAGGAGGATATCGTACCTGGTTCTTTCTGAAAGAGGGCGTGAATGAGAACGGAACACTATTGGAAGGGCCGATGAGATCGATACTGAAGATCTCGCCCCTAGGGGTTCCATGAATGATGAATTTTTGACCTAAATAGCTA